CTATAGAGATCAATCTATTTGTAACTTGCCTCATTCAAAAAAATAATAAAAAAATAATTTAAGGTGTTTTTTTTTATGGAAATCACACAAACGTACTACAATGTTTTTAAAATTGGTCCATTGATTCCCTAAAATGTATTGGTTGCTTTAAGGGGAATAAAGTGGATGTTCATTTTTTTTTCCACTGATATCTAATATAACATGTTTCATAAGCCATACCAACTTTTTTTGGCTTTTTATTTAGTTTTTAAAAATTAAAATTTAAAAATAATCTATGTGGCTTTAGTTATTAAAAGATTATCAGGCCATTTTGCTTGACGATCATAAGCCCGGGCAAATCTTACGTCATGTTTACAATTTTAATCGTTGATAATCTATATAAGTCTTCAAATTATAATCAATCACCCGTGGTTCTGAAGTTTTCCGAACTTGAAAACAAAATAAGCAAATTAATTTATTTTATATATATATATATATATATATATATATATATATATATATATATATATATATATATATATATATATATATATATAATCATCACACGTGGTTCGGAAGTTTTCCGAACTTGCATAAATTAATTTGTCTTTTACTAAGTTCCTATTTGTGAACATCGGGTAATCATCCAAGCCTTAAATTATAACCAACATTCATTTTTAAAATGATATATATATATATATATAATATATATATATATATATATATATATATATATATATATATATATATATATATATATATATATATATATATATATATATATATATAAAACTGGTTGGTACGGTATTACCGTGGTATTCGAAATTCTATAGCATTACCGTACCAAGATTACTCAATTGATATGGTATTACCAACCAAATATATTGGCTACCAAACATATCGGTCACCAACTTAATTGGTTCGGTTGGTAGCATATTGGTTGGTTTTCGTTGACACATATTTGACAGCCTAATATATATATATATATATATATATATATATATATATATATATATATATATATATATATATATATATATATATATATATAGGGGAGAGTTCAATTGAGAAAAAAAAAAGATTGAGAATGGGGGAATCATTCTCAGCCAATCATTTATTTTTGCCGCAAAAGGCTCCAACGTACCGGCGGAAATGGGAAACGAATGCACATGTGTTTTCCAACATAACATATTTTAAGTTATTTTTATTAAAAAATGATTTTAAATATACCAAAATTCATGATTTTCTATTTTCTACAAATAGGCATCCATATTGATATAGTTTTAAAATAAAATAAAAAATTTATTTTTTTATATTTTCAGCTATCGTTATTCATAAATGAATAAAAATGCATCAGGTTTTATTACAGTACATTCGTTATTCACTTATGAATAAAAAGTATGATTTTTTTTTTACAATTTAAGTATCATTCATATATGAATATAGCATATAATAAACATAGTATATTCATATTTTAATATTGGACGATGAATTCACTTGTGAATATTAACATAGTATATTCACTTGTGAATATTAGATGGTATATTCACTTATGAGTATTAAATGATATTTCATATGTGAATATTACATGGTATATCACATGTGAATATTACAGAGTATATTCACTTGTGAATATTAGATGATATATTCACTTATGAATATTACACAGTATATTCACATATGAATATTACAAGGTATATTCACTTATGAATATTGAAGGTATTTTGACAAATATATATATAATTTTTATATGTTATTCACATATGAATAACATACAGACTTTAATATTTGTTTTGTGTTTTTAATAATCATATACTGATTCAGGTGAGAAAACATATTCATATGTGAATATAACTTGGTAATTTAGTTTATGCATTTCATCAAACAGTTGGAGTACAAACAAGTTAACTATTTTAAAAATGTTAAAAACATCAAGTTATCAATTCCAAATCATCATATACTTCCGATTTCGACTTCAGATGCGACATCCTATCTCTGATCGATTTCTCAATTTGATTTTGATTTCCGAAAATCCGATTGGGAACCTGTGAGTACCGATTCTAAGTCCCTCAATGTCGACTGTGATTGCGAGTCCAGAACTCTAGTTCCAATTTCATGAACAATGAAGAAATTCCGGTTTAGTTGAAGAAATCTGGATGATTATTGAAGGTTGGAGGAAAATTTTTGATGATGAACGAACAGTTATCGAATTCTCTATAGTTACGTATTTGAGATTGAAGGTTATTATGATATTTACAAGTTTGCCACCGCGTCTTTTATGCTTTGATTAAATAAGTGGTTGAGAATGATTCCCCCATTCTCAACCTTTTTTATTTTCTCAATTGAACCCACCTCTCTCTCTCTCTCTCTCTATATATATATATATATATATATAT